CACAAGTATGGCAGGTGGCACGGTAGGGGAAGTATCGGACGCTCGGGAGCACAGGGCAGTGGGACCAAAGATGGGATTGAGGGGAGGGGCATTGGGGAAGACTTCCATACTGGAGTGAGGTTTAAGCTGATAGGGCTCTATAGGTATCTGTCGAATGAATGACAGCAGGAGGCAGGGCTATTCCTCTTCGGTTTCTTTGTCCTCTCTTTACTATAACATGGCTCCCTGCCCTGGGATCTGCAACACGAGCCATGGGCCCTCCTTGCAGCTTGGTGGTGCTAAAGCAGGCCTGGTGCCAAAGTCAGAGTTTCTCAAACTGGGCTCATGCTTCCTACAGCTGCTTGAACTAGAATCTGGGCCAGTGACTTTTAATTCATTGTTATTTGGCTTCTGCCTCAATGAAACAGCTCTCATATATGTCTCCCAAGGACTTCCTACTGTCCAAATTAACTAGACATTTTTTCGTCCTTAATTTACCAGATCTCTCATGCTCAGCACTTGCTCTTTGAAATTATCTTCTCTGTTGCCTTCCACAATGCAACTGTTTCTGCGCTTCTCGCACCTTCCTTCTCCAGCTCTTTCCAGGTCTCCGCTTCCTCAGTCTGCCCCTTAAAATCTGGACTTGTGGCTCGTCACTTCTCTTCACTCACTTGCATGGGCAATGTCTTCCACTCCACAGTTTTGTCCCCAGATTTGTGTTTCTCTCCCCGACTTCTTTGGTGAGCTTCAGGCCTTTATACTCAAGCACATCTTGGACGCCTGTCCTCCTCACACTCAGCATGTCCCGAACTGGCCCCAGCGCCACCCCCGCTTGCTCCTCCACTGATATTCTCTATTTCTGGAAATGCTACCACTTGCCACCCAATTGCCCTACCCAAACCTCGGTGTCATGTTTGACATCTTTCCTGCCTCTTCTTTCCAATCAGTCACAAGGTCCTACTGACTCTTTTTCAATCTGCATCTGTACTCGGCTGTACTCCAGGCTCAGTTTTCCACGTCTGGTCAACTACAGTAGCCTCAAACCGGCCTGTCTCCAGTCTTGTCACCCTGCAATCCACCCTCCAAATGGCTGCAAGAGTGATTCATATTTTATCACGTCCCTCCCATGGCCCCAAACCCTTCAGTGGCTCCTAGGGCATAGAGAAGAAAATACAAGTTCTTTAACATGGCCCCCAAGGAGCCCCATGACTGGCCCCTGCCTGCCTCTCGGTTATCTCCTCCCAGTCCCCTGCACTTTACAATCCAGGAATGCCAACTTGCTTTGAGTTCCACACGTACGCTGTATCACGTTTAAAGTACTAGATGCTTCTGTTCATACTGTTCTCTTCTATGGTGACGATTTCTTTGCTTTTATTGTTTTACCATTTATACATGCTGAAACAAGAGTTTAGTTTGTTTTTGAACTTATATGAATAGAATAACATATATTCTCCTGTATCTGGTTTCTTTCAATCAACGTGCTTATGAGATTCATCTGTTTTGCGTGTAGCTGTAGTATGATCATTTGTCCTGGTTGTGTAGTATTCCATTGTATGAATATGCCACAATTCACCTGTTCTACTGTAGATGGATATTTGAGTTGTTTCCAGTTTTGGGGGGCCATTACAAGCAAAGCTGCTATGAATATTCTTGTACGTGTTTTTTGGTGCACAGAAGTTCTTATTTCTCAAGGGCATCTATATACCCAAGAGCAGAAATTCCTTGTCTGATCTAATTACAGCTTCACTTCCAGTTTTAGCAGGATTCACACCTAAATTAATAGTTATTCAAGAACTAACATAAAACAACAGGTAGGTCATAGAGGAGATATCACTTTGATCTTACCAGGTAATGCCAACTGTCTCCAAAGCAGCATATGAGAGTTCTTATTGGCCCACAACCTTGTCAATGCTTGGGATTGCTAGACTTTTGAAAAGTTTGCCAATACACAGCTGTGGGGCAGCATCTCACTATGGTTTCAATGTACATTCCCCTGATGACAGGTGTGACGGAGCCCCGACTTAACTTTTAGACTCAGTTCTGACCACATTCCCAAGAACTTCCTCCCTGACCCCCTACCCTGGCCCCAAAGCCCCCCACCTGCCTCTACCAGTGTAGGCAGTGTCCCACGTGGGAAATCTCGGCTAACCGGAGCGTCGTCCTGCTAGGCCAGGCACTCCTTGAAGGAAGCCACTGCTTTACTCATGTTTGTTTCCAAACAAAGACTGGCTGGCACAGGTCTGGGTCATGGTAGACAGTAGTTGTTGAAATGAGCTTACTTAAAAACTACTTCTGGCCGTGAGCCTTAGTCTCATCTATAAAATGACCAAAAAAGATCAATTTTATAAGGTTGTGGGGCAGGCTCAGTAGTACAGTGTTTGGCACATATGCTCCCAATAAATAGCTCCCTTCTTTCCATTTAGGGACCAAGGAAATTGAAAGTGCACAGGCTGGTTTTGTATAGATGCAAAGATAGAAAGAGGGAATAAAATTGGAGGCAACTGTAAATCTAAATTTCATCTGAGATGTAACAAAATGAATCAAGCAAGTCATTCACCCAATGGTAAGTAATCGCTAGCTGGGTGTGACCTCTCGCCTTGCAGACTCACCTGCCATCTGAAGCTAACAGGGACCGAGCTGTGGGAGGCAGCATACTGGCCCCCAAAGATGTCCCTGTCCTAATCCCCGGACCCAGTGAGTATGTTACCTGACACAGCAAGGGGGATGTTAAGGCTGCAGATGGAATAAGGTTGCTAACTAACTGACTCAGATGGGGAGATTAGCTTAGGTTATCCAGATGGGCCCAAGATAATCACCAAGGTCCTTTAAATGTCAGCGAGGGAGGGAGAACAGTCAGACTTCAGAGATTTGACGATGCTACGCTGCCGGCTCTAGAGACGGAGGAAGGGGCCACAAAGCAGGTGGCCACTAAAAGCTGAAAAAGGGCTCTCCCCTAGAGCTTCCAGTAGGAACGCAGCTCAGCCTACATCTTGACTTTAGGCCAGTGAGGCTAATTTTGGACTTCTGACCTCTGGAACTGTATGAGAATAAATGTGTATTGTAAGAAAATAAATCACCACTAAATTTGTGGTGATTTCTTACAGCAGAAACAAGAAACTAATACACGAGGCCAATGCCATCTTGTGCCATAAATACTGTATGTGCACGAGCGACTAAAATGCACTCCTGAGAAGGGCTGTTTAAGTTGTAAGGACCCTTTGAGAACGGGCAGTCCGCATCCTCACCACGCAGATGGACACTGAGGCCTCCTCCCAGGCCTCCGGATCCACAGCGTCTGGGAGCTGGGAGGACCTCACGTTTCCAGCCAAGCAGCAGTTCCAGAGCCAAGACGGGAACCCAGGTTGCCACACATTCTGACCAGGATTCTTTCTAATACAAGTTTGTGACATAAAACCCCTGCAATGAGGTGAACAACGTTCGTTCGTAATTTATGTGGAATGCACTGTGAAATGCGGTCTATTTCAGAAGCACATAAGTATTAAGTACTGTAAACGCGTAACTCATGTTCTCCAAAGCTACTAGAGAAACGAACTGCTGGGCCTTAACGGTTGTGTCTAAATCTTTAGTTACCCTACATGGTTTAAACACACACAGCTTCTGCTTTTAAAAGACAAATTATTGCAAATAAGGAATAATCCATATTGGAATCTAAGCCTCCTAAGGAAATGAGAATACTTTGTTCTGCTGACCTTTCATCTTCCAAATACGTTTAATAGAGAAGACTTTGCTAAGATTTCCTTAACTAAGCTATAAATCTACCGAGAGCTGTTGCAGTATCAGACTCTTATTTCAAATACTGGTGCTCCAGCATCATGCCTAGTGATTCTGGGAACCTCAAACAATCCCACTGCAGTCTATTTCAGCCGTGAGACGTCTCCGCAATGCACTACTCCTCGTTCCTGTCTGCGGGCTGCACGCTGCACACATTTCCTGGTTCCTTTGCGCGTCCCCTCTGTGGCTTTAATGGCCGCCAATGGCTCCATCCTGCAGGCATAGGTGCATACGCTCTGTAATAAATCCCCCAATTTTAGGAACGTTCCCTTTAGAGTCTTGCTTTTGCCTAATGCCCCCAAATGTCACAAGTGCTGTCCGAATGAATGACAGCACAGATCTGTACTCTGTCGAGATGGCTGCAGGGGATGAGATGGTAGTCAGCTTATTTTGAAAGTCTGAGTATTATTCCTACCAAAAAAGCATAAGGATAAGCTTTGCTGCATTATCAAAAATAGATCAGAAAGTGCTATGGCTATATTGAGAAAAACTGTTATATTATCAAAAATATATATGATTCCAAACTATTTGAAGGGCTGTCCCAGGAAGAGAGATTATTCCATTTCATTCCAGAAGGCAGAGCTAAGGCTATTCAGTGGGAACTTGAGAAGCAGAATTCAGTTGAATACGTGCACAAATTTGTCTTGCTGCCGTGGGGCTTGGGGTGTGTTGGTGAACCCAGGAGCAATGAGATTCTCCTCAGGTGAAAAACAGTGATAACAGAGTATCACGTAGCCTGTGAGCTTGCAGTGAGGAGTAAATGCAGCAATGTCTGCAGAAGAACCTTGCAAAATATTTCAAATACTCATGGCTTTTAAAAGATAAGCTTAAGCTTTTGAACACTATTCTGACATTTAAAAAATGGTTAATTTTAGTTTACTGCTGTAACTGTTTAGCATTCTTAGGAGGTACATAGATAAACAATGTAATTTCCAACTGGCAGTATTATTTGAAGAATTTTTAAAATTCTTACCTAAAGAGACATCGAGTTTGGCTTATTGCAACCAATGTCCTGACCCCTCCCTTAATGTCAATTGCTGTATTCATCCAGAGTCTGAAGTTTCGTGCCTATGCCCCCTGGCACTTTTGTGAAAGCTATCTTTACTTCAATAAAGACAGTTGTGACGTAAAATCTGCATCGTCAATGCACTTAAATGTCCAATATCGCTGGAATTTGGGGAAAGCATGGGAAGTCAAGCCAGGAGAAGAAAAGATGGGCGTCACGCACATTGACTCACATCCACAGTGACCTCTCTGAAAAGAGGGCGCTGTGTGCAGCTACGACGTTTATTACAGCAGGTCTTTATCGTTATTGCCGTGGACATTCTTTCATGAAATTTCACAAGATCCTTTAAGCTATTAGTATTAGCTTTTTTATGGAGTGATATTTTGTTAATTTATGAAATATTTACAGCGTTTACAAAAAGCAAGAGAATGTCTAATAAAATTTCTCATACATACAAAATTTATACATTCTGCTACTGTATTTGAGATGTCTTATTTGGTAGACCAATTAAGCTATGACATAAAATAACTTACAAAGATATATTTAATCTCTCTTAATTCATTGAAAACATAACCATATTAGCTATAAATAGTCCTTTACAAATCATCGTAAAACACGTTAATTGTTTTAACTCTAGCCTTACCTTTTACAAATATACTTACTAAATGAATTAGTTCAGATATCAAATAGAACTGCATTTGAAATTTCATTTAATACTACAAAAAAAAAAAAAACCTGAAAAAGCAAACTGCCGGGTACTTCAAGTAAAAATTTGTAGAACCAGTTTTTATGCACGCTTGGGGGGAGGGGCATCCGACACCATTTAAATTGAAATTCATAAACAATACTTTCAAGAATACGCTCAACAGTGTACATCTACAGCTTCTATTTCAAAGAATGATGCTCTAGCAACAGCTCATACCTCCAAGATGCTCAACCCTACACTTCGGCAGATGAGCTGGTTTGACTAGAGCAACGTTTGCGAAACAGTCACCAACGCAGCATCACACATCTGACCTCCTGAGACAGCGCTGTTGAAGGGCGCTCCCCAACCTGAAACCGGGTCCGAATCTTAGGCAACCTCACGGAAGAACTTGGGAAACAGAATTGGCAAAGTTCAAAAAAAATCAAATCATATTTCACTGGGCCCCATTTTTTTTTAATATAAAAATATGCTTCTCTTGAAAATTAGGGGAAAACACTTCATATTCCAAAATTTCAAGATAATGAACACCTCATCTACACAGCTATTTCTCCTTAAGTCACCACTGACAATGGAATAAAATTTGGCAATTATTTTAACACCTTGCTTTTGGATAATACCTTGAAAGCTGAGCTCAATTTGGTTTTGGCAGTAACACACGTCTTTCACATTTGGGTTCATTTTAGATAATCCAAAGCAACTAGCATAAGCAGCTTGAGGAAAATCCATTTCACAAACATATATTTTTCCCCTTTAGTTTAAAATAATGTTGTTCCAATTAAGCCTACAAAATACATATCATATACAGAGCATTTCTAAAGAGGTAAATTAAATTTAAATTTTATCTTTCGAAAACTGCTTTGGAAAGGTGTCAGGATTTTCCAAAACCCCATCTTGGCTCCTTTCTTCTGATTGCCGTGTAGACACTGTAGTTTTCTTGTAATATGTATTCTAGAAGGCACATATTCAAGAGTTTAAGATTATGTTAGTTCAAGTTCTACATGGAGGCAAATATTTTAATCTACTTTGTACAGAGGCCCCAAATGAAAGTCAGCTATTTCCTCTCTTCAGAGCTCTAACGCCGCACCAGGGTCCCCTCTCAGAAGTGCGTTTGCACGTGGGGCATCATTTGTGAAGGACTGGAAGGTGAAGTCGAGGGATCGGAAAGCTTGGCAGAGTTGGCGAGCTGCAATTCCTCGAGCCGCTTTATGTATTCATCGCGCAGGGCCAGGAGCTCCAGGTAGCGCTGCTCCACTGGGTTTGGCTGCTGCAGAGAAGCACAAAGACGCGTTACTGCTGGACGGTGCCACGTCACAGACACCTGCCTGCTCCGCGCCAGCCACCGGCCGTGCCTGCTGCCTTCTCAATAAGCCTTCGTAGTGAGGTTTAGCGTCCACACACACTGTCCTCCAATACCCCCAAATTTCAACACACACACAAGTACAAGAATACGACAACACCCAGCTGTCTGCCACCGAGAAATAACATACACATTTCCTCACACATGCGTCACCATCTTTCTAAATTTATCAACCCAGACACAGCTCCAGTCTCCTGTGTCGCCCATCCCCAGGACCGCTCCCCTCTTTCGCTCCCAGAGGCAACAACTCTTCTCAGGTTGGAGTGTCGCCTTCCTTACTGTGCAGGTTTGTGACATTTTTCCTACAAGTGAGTACCCAGCAACAAAATATACCACTATGCTCCACATGTGGAAGTTTACATCAACGGTGGTATTCTGTATTCATCAATTGACATTCGGACCCGACATTACGGTTCTGAACTGGAGCGCAGTTGAGTTCCACCGAATAAAGGAACCACACTCGATGCATCCACTTCCACACTGATGGAGGATGGGTAATGCCCTCACTATTATAGCGCTCCTCACTATTCCACACGCAATGCTGTAGCACTATCTTCGGACACAAGTCCTCGGGCACGTGCCAGTGTCTCTCCAAGGGATTTTCCTAGGGGGGGACTGCTGAAGAAGACAGTATGGTCTCTTCCGCTTTACTAGATGCTGCCAAATTGTTCTCTGAGGTGGTGAGAGGGCCTTATGCTCCGCTAGTGATGTCTGGCGGTTCCTGTTGCTCCACAGCCTCACCAGAACTGGAGAATGTAAGAGTAATTTTTTCTTTGCCAATTTGATGACTGTAACTTGGTATGTCATGGTACTTTTAGTTTGCATTGCTCTGCTCTAGCACATCTTTTCATGTGCTATTACCCAGATTAACGCACGGTTGACAGCAGTGGCTCTGAGGCCCGCTGGCCTTGGCGTGAATCTCAGGTCTGCCTCTCGCCGGCTGTGTGACCGAACCTTCCCTATCTGTCAAATGGGACTCAGAACGGTCCAGACCTCACAGGGCTGTTGGGAGAGTGAAGTCAGGCAATGTTCTGCTACAATGCCATTTCTTTGAGTGATAAATATGGGACTGATGGCAGAATAAAGGTATAAGTCATGCTGGAACAGGATGTGATTCTCCCCAGCATGTTAATTTTTTAAACTTTTTTTTTTTTTTCTGAGGAAGATTAGCTCTGAGCTAACATCTGCCGCCAATCCTCCCCTTTTTGCTGAGGAAGATTGACCCTGAGCTCTAACATCTGTGCCCATCTTCCTCTATTTTTGATGTGGGACGTTGCCACAGCCTGGTTTGATGAGCAGCACTAGGTCCATGCTTGGGATCCAAGCTGACGAACCCTGGGCCACCAAAGTGGAGCATGCGAACTTAAGTGCTATGCCACTGGGCTGGCTCCAATCTTTCAAAATTTTGTACTGAGATATAAACCACAGATAGTACTGTGCACAGATCTTAAAATGTCCAGCTCAGTGAATCTTTACATAAGTATAAATCAATGTAATCACCACCCAGGCCAAAATATACAACAGAACGGCCTCCGGAAGACTGCCTCGCCGGGACGTTCATGTTTTGAAGTGATCAAGGGCAAGCTTCTAGAAAACTTGAGCAATATATGAAGACATTTACAAAAAAGGCAATAGTCTACATTAGTGCCTTCCTTTAGTGCTAGTGGCTTCTAGAACCATCCTGCTTTCCATTGTATTAAGCTATCTACTGAAGCTGCGGGCACCAAGGAAGCTGTGAAGACCACGTGCTGACGGAGATGGCCATACTGTGGATGTGATTTCTAACGCCGAGGAGAACGGTCTGCAGTAGAAGCAGAAGCCCTCCAGGACCTGTGTCTCAGAGAAGGCAGCATGAGCCCTGGGCTTTAAGACTGTGCGTTAGTTTCCTGTGGCTCCCATAACTAACACAAACTTGGTGGCTTCAAACGACACATTTCCTTTCTCACAGCTCTGCAGGGCAGAAGGCCGAAATGAGGCTGTCAGTGGCCTGCGCTCCCTCTGCAGGCTCTAGGGGAGGACCCTTCCCGCCTCCTCCAGCTTCTGGGGGCTCAAGGCTTCCTTGGCTTGTGGCCATGTCACTCCAACCACTCCTCTGTTTTGGCATGGTCTTCTCTCCTCTGTGTGTCTGTCTCGAATCTCCCTGTTGTCTCTTGTTATTGAACTTAGGGCCCACTCTAAATCCAGAAGGATCTCACCTTGAGATCCTAACCTAATTAAATCTGTAAAGACTCTTTTTCCAAATAGGGTCACAGTGACAGGTTGTGAGGGACATGTCTTTTAGGGGACACCATTCAACCCACTATAGGCTGCCAAGGAGGAATCAATGGCGGCCAGATGCAAATGCTGCAGAGACGTGACTATGCCCGCATTCCCACTGGGACTGTCGCTTCCATGAAAGCTCTGGATACAAAGGTCCTCAGGTTGGGAGAAGTCTCCTCCGACCTCCTAATCCTGTTCTTCCTGTAAGCCTCGTTCTCTTTACCTTGTGATTCTGCAGGACGTAAGGTTTTTCAGGAAGGCATATGTGGTATTAGAACGGAAATGCTTGGGAGAAGGCCTGAGGCCTGGTAAGCGCTGTGCACTGCCTGCTAAAATCCCTCGCCCATTTTTCTCTTTATGTATTCACCTGAGGGCCAGACACTGTTCTAGCCCCTGGGGCTCCATCAGCGAACAAAGGAGGCCCAAATCCCTGTTTTTGTGGCGTTTATTTGCCAGCAGGGGGAGACAGACAAACGACGAATACCACAATCCTGTGAGTCACACAGAATGTTTAAAGGTGATGAATACTATGGAAAAGAAGCAGAGCAGGGTAAGAGGGACGGGGATGGGGGCAGAGCGCCAGCTCCCCTCTAAATAGGGTGGTTGGGGTGAGCCACACTGAAGAGGTGACTCTTGGTGGAAGGCCTGAGGGAGGGGGAGAGGGAGCGAAGCAGACAGTTGAGTGTCTGAGGACGAGCAAGGAGCCCAGTGTGGCCGAAGCAGAATGTGTGAGAAAGAGGTGTTGGTGAGGAGGCCAGGAGGTCAGAGAGGGTGGGGTCACATAAGGCCTCAGAGGCCATTGGAAGGGCTTGGGCTTTGAGTGTGCGAGGTGAACAGCTACCTGGACAGTTCTGAATATGGGACTGGTGGGATCTGGTGCGTGCTGTATGAGGACCGTTTTGGCCAGCACGTTGAGAAGGGACTAGAAGGAAGCAAGGGTAGAAGCAGGGAGTCCAGCTGGAAGGCGATGCAGCAGTACTTGGGGAAAGTGTCGGAGGTGGTACAGGTTCTGAACGCCAAGCGCAGCGGGCTCTCCTGAGAGACAAGGTGTGGGGTGTGAGAGAGCAAGGAGTCACGGATGACTCCAAGGGCTCTGGCCATAGCAACTAGGATGGAGCTGCTGAGGGCTGAACGGGAGATGGCAGGAGGAGCGGGTTTGCGGGGATATTGGGAGTTCCATTTTAGACTTGTTAAGCTTGACTTGCCATGCTGGCACCGTTTACCAGCGACTGTCCATCTTTTCCCTCCATGTCACAATGCCACCTGCTTCCCCTAGTCTGTTTCTGGGCTCTACTCTGCTTCAAATAAGTCTTGATACACAGCACGGCAAGCTCTTCTTCGATATTCTCCTCCAAAATTGTCTTGGCTATTTTTAAAACCTCCCTTCTTCATATGACTATTAGAATCCATTTGTTATTGTACCAGCAAGTACAATTAGACAAGAAAAAGAAACCAGAGGTAAAACAATCACTTTTGCCAATGACAAAGGTGTATAATTAGAACACTCGGGAGAGTAGACAGAAAAACTGTTAGAAATGAAAAGATAATCCAGTCTAGCAATGAGGACAAAATATGAAAGTCATTAGCCTCTAGACAAACATCAACCATTTGGAGGCTATAATAGAAGGAGAGAGTCCATTTGTGACAGTACACCAAAAGACAAAATAACGAGAAACACAATGTGAAGTCAAGTGACTTTAAATACTACAACTCAACTTCTCTCTTAGGAAAGGAATGAAGAAGGAAAGAGCACGCCAGCTCAGCGTGGACTAGATGCTAGGCAATCAGCTAGCTATGACAGCATTTGAGGCTTCAAACGATTTCCATATTCATGTTTCTTTTCACTTTTCTATTAGAAATAAACACCACACAGGTCAGCCTGTGAATATCTGACTGGACTGTTCTCACCCTTCAGTTACCATGACACAGACATGGCCTTGGCTGGTGCAACCCTGGTTAGCAGCTCCGTGGAGTACAGTGGCTCCCAAAGGGCAACAGGAGGCTCAGCGGCAGCCAAAGGCCCCATTCAGGTTTATAATGTGACCAATTCAGACTTTTGCTTTCGGCATGAGCAATTTCCTTATATGAAATAAAGTACCAAATTTTCTTATTGATAGCTCATCAAATGTAAGCCTTGGTCTTTCCATCAACTCTGCTGAGTTCTTTTTTCTTCTTCTCCCCAAAGCCCCCCAGTACATAGTTGTATATTTTAGTTGTGGGTCTTCTGAAGGTTCTGCTATGTGGGACGCCGCCTCAGCATGGCTTGATGAGCAGTGCCATGTCCGCACCCAGGATCCGAACTGATGAAACCCTGGGCCGCCAAAGCAGAGCCCGCGAACTTAACACTTGGCCACGGGGCCAGCACCTCTGCTGAATTTTTATGTCATAGCAAGGGTTGCTGGCTTTTGCTTTTAAAAGCACACTAACCCTGCCTTCTTCTAGGTTAACGCCTCATTATAGGGAAGGGCTGTATAAGCTTTTGTATCTTTCAATACTCAGAGTACATCAGAGTGCAGTGGACACTATAGGTACCCGGTAATTGTCTGTATGCCAACTGGGCCACACAACTGAATGGCAATTTAACTCCTAACTGTTTAAGTATATTCTTTCAGGTTTATGTTATATAATTTAAAAAGTCCTATGTGATCAGATTTTAATCTATTTATGTATGAAATAATGTTCTACATATGATCTTCAAGGAAATCTAAGGCACTCACTTCACATGTCTAGTACTGCATTTCTCCCTGAGCATTTTAATCCTCACCTTATGTTCCTCGGTGCCCCCATCAGCCTAGGAGCTCCGAGTGGGCAGAGACCGCCTCCTCTTAATCTCTGCCTCCCCTCAGTGCCTGACGCATGCGAACACTCAGTAAATGGTAGATGAAAATACAAAGTGCCAAGGGACATAAGGATCTGTGTAGGACCCTCCACACTCAGAAAAATCTATGTAGAAAGGATATGTTATTTTCCTTTTTGAGTAAATTTCATAGATCATAATATAAACCAATTACTGTCTCCAAATAAAAATCTTTAGTCAAGAACGTGCCTTCCTATCTGGCCCAGTTCCTTTTTGCAAAGCTCTATGAGAATGATGGGGAGAGAGATGGTACAGGCAGTTCTAACAATGTCCCTTCAAACTTGACTTGTCACACAATTCTCATTATTACCTTTATATATTCAGAAATGAAATGAATTGCTCTAAATTTCTTGAAATTTCAAGAATTTCTCCAAGTACAACTGAGGGGAGATTACAGAATCTGTATGGAAATTGTCAACACTTCCTAATTACTGATGGTTTAAAAACAAGCCATGGTAAATACAGAAAAGGCTTAATTTATAGGACAAACAGTGCTCACCTGTGTAATATTTTTTAATTAGAAAAGGAACACGTCCTCTGTAAGAGTGGTTAGAATCCTGGAAAAATTCCCATTTCCTCTTCCCTTGATATCCCAATGCTAGAACTACTGCTAAATAAATTCCCTCAATGTGCTTCTTGAATCCTAAACTAAACAAGCGAATGTTGTCAAGCCCTGGAATCTGTCACTTTCTAAAAGATTACACATTTGAACCATTACTAAATTGCAAAAGCCTTTCATGCAAGCAGCAGAGACCTTGAAATGAAAGTGCCAGCTTGAACCACGCACTTCCCCCATGAGAAGAGAGCACGGACTGGCGTGCGGCCAGCTGGCTAAGTGGAATCAACAATCTACGAGACAGACTGCAGCTCCCAGCCCCTGCTGTCGCCTGTTTCTAGTGGGATTAAAGCTGGCGCTGACGCAAGACTGGCCTGTGAGAACAGGTAAACCATCCAAACTGCAGGAAAATGGGCAAAGCTTTACGAAAAGCAATCGCAAATACTGACTATTTATAGCGTTTAGAACAGATCACTAGATGGAGGTCCTTCTGAGCCTTTACAAACAGGCTGTATTTTCTTCTGATTTTAGATGGAATGGTGGTGGGAGAGTGGAAAGCCTGAGTGCATCTTTAATAAAATGTGGAGTCTTTTGCTTCAAAAATCATTGTTTTCACTTTGTGACTGATAAATGGCCAACTGAGTGCACTATCCACTGACAGGTCAATTATCTTTATTTTAGGACTGAAGACTCTCAGTAAAAAGCACTGGTGTCAGCAGACCTAATACACACACCTGAACCGGAGAGGAGACAACGTTTTCTCTCCTTGAGGGATCATCTAAGTTTAGTCACTGGAAAGAATTTTCTTAGGATGCGTAACAGCTTCCAGGGATTAAAGGAAATCCTTGGCTAGCAAAACTCGAACATTTTCCAGAGCTTTAAATCGGTTTACATTTTAGCAAAAAAATTTTATATTTTATTCATGTAGGCAGAAGAATACAAGTTTAACGCCAATCAAAGTAAATGGTTTGGCAATTAAAAATACTTTTTAATTAAAGTTGCGTTTAAAAGCAAGTATGATTTTTTTGGTCTGGTATTTCCCCTCTCATGATATTTTTAAAAAACTACCAAATCGCATTATCTACGTACAGAAACAATCACCAATCGACATCACTGGCTTTCACTTACTTGTTGCTTGATTCTGGGGTTCCACCGAATGTAGTAATTCACCCACAGTTCCAAGTGACGCATGCTGGCAACTGGATACAACACTCGATTGATCTCTTTAGTATAGAAGGGATTTTTGAATCTGTCTTTATTACTGTTTATCAGTGACCATAAAGAAACTGTTCTTTCTGTAACTTTCTAGAGAGAGAGAGAGAAAGTGGAAAGCCTAAGTAAACACACACCCAGTACACAAACCATTTTGCAGCCTGTGGCAACACAGGTGAGCATCAACTTGAATCCTACATTTACATTATGCCCACAATAGCTCAAAAAGCCTCCTGGGCCAGTGAGCGCTCAGGCAGCCACTTACCGATATTTGCATAGATAATGGCCTCGCTTGAGAGCCACTATTGCTACGCAGGAGAGAGGTACAGGACGCTGTAACATTAAATGCAATTCACTGACCTGAGAAGACTATTCCTGGCTAGGTAAAACATTTACCAACAGATGGACAGTATGCTCTTTTTAATTCAGCAGAAAGAAAAATTATCCTAAGATGTCACTGATTTTTTTCATTTTTGTATTTGTTAGAACTATGAAATCTTAACCTGTGTCTACTTGACGGTAGGCATCTAGATATAAAGCTATTTTAATCAATCATGCAGATGTTTAATCTACATCATGCCAAGAGCCAGATCTTTGAAAACACTTGGCTAACTGACTGCACTGAGTCTCCGGTTTTCCGTCTAGTGTCCATCATCTCATACAGATATTCATGTTTTCATTTTATTATAGATTTTTACTGATTTTGGCCATAAACTAGAGAAAAATCAAAGCTCGGGAAATAAAAATACAAGTACTAAAATTACCGAAGGCAAAATTTGAAACTCTTCCTAGTAATGACTTCAATAAGAAAGGGCCAATAAGCTAAAACTGGAAGCTAAAAAGAACCACTTGAAGGAAGCGACTGAAGAAATTTCTTTAACACACATACTTTAACATGAACGATAACAATGGCAGCCTAATTTTGCCTTCCTTGGAATCCCCCTAAAACTCCATTCGCACCTTTCGATGCCACAATCTACACTGCGTTGTGTTTATTTGCATGCTTGTTTTTATTTTTATACATGCACATAGTTTAAAAAGTCAAATAGCTTGACAAGGTTTGTTATGAAAAAAGCAGTTTCTCACCTGGCTCCCCAGAAGCAACAGTATTTGGTTCTTTAAATTGCTTTCTTTGCTTATTTGGTACTCACCTCCATATCTCTAAATAAAATGCTCTTCTTGCTACATGTTGGCTATTCAGAGATAGTCAGTAACTCCTGACAAGGCCCCCTCCATCCTGCCTCACACCCCCAGCACACAGCGGAGCTGGGATGAGATCCGAGCTCAGTGTTTAGATTCTCATGATGAAGCAAATGCTACTCCCAGGTGAGCCATGTAGAGTTACTAGTCTGTGATTTCTTCGCCTGCACAACCTTTTTGTTTTCCCTTGATTTAACAAGTGTCTATTCTGTTTGCTTGCTTTTCTTGGCACTTATCATTAATTCAACCCTAAACTCTTCCTCCAGCATCTTAAACTTCCGTTAAGACACTCAGCACATCCGGACCCCCCAGTTTCATCTTCGGAGGAGAGAAAGCTACACTGGCTGCCCCTGTGCCCTGAGTCCATCTGTCATCTAGGTCCTTTTCTGTTTTGCCCCAAGGATCCCCTCTTGCCTCTCTCTGTGCTGGAGCTCCTGCTTACTGAATTCCACGCCGTCATCTTCTTTCTTGTTTGCATGAAGTACACACTCCAGCAGCTTCCAGAGAAAGGGTGTGGTATGGGAGGTAAATCTTTCTTGATGCCATGTCTGAGAATATCCTTGTTTACTTTCACGTGTGATTGGCAATTTGGTGGCTACAGAATTCTACGTTGAAATTATTTTCCTTTAAAATTCTGAAGGCAATGCTCTACTGACTTCTGCTTCCAATATTGCTGTTGAAGAACTCAAAATCATCCTGATTTCTGTTTCTTTGCAAATAACCCATTCTTTTTTTTTCTTTGGAAGCTTCAAGGATCTTTTTTGTTGTCCCTGGTCTTCTGAAACTTCCCAATGATGTGCCTTAGTATGGCTCTCTTTTTGTCCACTGGGTTGGGCACTTGGCAGGCCTTTCAATGTGGAAACTCACATACTCCAATTCCAGGAAATATTCTCAAATTATTTCAGTGATTTCTTGCTCTCTGGTTTCCCTATTTTCTCTTTCTAGAACACCTGTTATTTGATATTGCACCTCCAGGACTGATCTGCTAGTTTTCTTATCTTGTTTTCATTTTCCACTTCTGTCTTTACTCTCTACTTTCTGGGAGATTTCGATTTTATCTTCCAACTCTTCTGCTGAGTTATTAATTTCTGTTGATAGCGTGTTTTTAGTTTCAGCTTCCTTTCTGATCTCTAAATGTTCTTTCCAAACAATATCCTGTTATTATTTTGTGGTACCAATATGTTCTTATGTTTCTGGGGATATTAAATGATAGCTTCTTGTCTACATTTCTGCCCTCCCTACATGGTAACTATTTTTTCCGAGCTGCTTTTTCCCCCTCTCGGTTGTCTGCCACTATTTAAGAGTGGAGAAGAGAAGAGTTGACTGGAGGCTCTGAAATCCTGAGGCTCATCAACGTGAGCTTCACTGTGGGGAACTCTAGGTGTTGGTATCTTTAGGTCCTTCTTCTGGGGCTAGTCAGTTTCCCCAGAGATAATTCTTCTTTTTGAAAATTGAGGTGGAGTTCACATACCATAAAATTCACCATTTTACAGTGTAAAATTCAGTGGCTTTTAGAATATTCACAATGGTGTGCAACCACCACCTCTATCAAGCTCCAAGACATTTTTATCATCCCAAATGGGAACCCCATACCCACTAAGCAGTCACTCCCCATTCTCCCCTCCTTCCTGCCTCTGTCAACCACTTACCTACTTTCTGTCTCTATGGACTTGTTATTCTAGACATTACACATAAATGAAGTCATACAATCTGTGACCTTTTATGTCTGGCTCCTTTCAGTTAGCATGTTTTCAAGGTTTATCCATGTTGTAGCATAGACCAGAACTTTATTCCTTTTTATGCCTGATTAATATATTATTGTATAGATAGACCACATTTTGTTTATATATTCATCAGGTGATAGACACTGGGGTTGGTGCCCAAACTTTTAGCTACCCTGAGTAGTGCCACTATGAACATGTGCATACAAGTTTTTGTTTCAAACCTTATTTTCGCTTCTTTGGGTATATATCTAGGGGTAGAATTGCTAGGTCCCATGGTAATTCTCTATTTAGCTTTCTCAGGAGCAACCACCAGACTGTTTTCCACAGTGGCTGCACTGCTTTATACTCCTGCCAGTAATGAAGGAGGGCTCCATTTCCTCTATCCTTGCCCACAGAGAAAGTTCTTTCATGCTCCCACCTGGAAGACAAGGACATGCTGCTAGATTTATGGGAGTCAGCAAGGGAAGTGAGCTGGGGCCCCTGATGACACTCAGGTCCCCAGCCCAGAGACTCACTCTCACCCTCTCTCGAGAAGCAACCTCTGACAGAGTCCTCAGCTCCAGAGAGTGGTGGAGGGGACCTGGGGAAGCTAATGGCTTACTCTAAACAGAGCTTCCAGTTGTCTTATCTTTCCCCCTTCGACCCAGACACCTGGTATACCCTCTCCCCAGAACCCGAGTCATCCAGGTTCCCTGTGACACAAAGTGGGCTGGTTCTTGGCTTCCCTGCCGCTGGTTTGAGATTCAGTTTTCTCAAGCTACATTATTTACCACTTATCTACTAGCCTTCCCACTTCTAAAAGTTTGTTGCTATGTCTCTTTTCTCATTTTCCCTGTTTGTGAGGGTTTATGCCTTTAAAAAATTCCCTTTCCTGAACTCGTTATGGCGTTTTGGGAGGGAGACCTTGCCTAACTTTGAAGTCATTCCTACTCCCCAAGGGCGAAGTCAGTGTCTTAGCCCTGCGGTAGATAGCAGACACTCAACAAATCCCGGCTGAAGTACAAACACCCAAGTTGGGGGTACAAAATGAGAAACCTTGCATTTACCACAAATCAAGCTATTAAATTCTTTTTATTTCACAGCAGACCAGACACATTTAACTGACAGGATTAGCATTTTCGCTCACCTGTCTTTCTCGAGCCGATTCACAGTTGTACAAGAAAGTACCAAAGCGGCAGCTGTACAGATGATCCAAAATCGTAATCAGAAATTGTTCATTGAATTCAAAGGCTGTCGGGAACTAGACACAAGAAACGAGCAAAGAGAGCATGAAAACTCAAGACGGATCCTTCGGAGAACAGCAGAGAGGTGCCAAACCCTGCCACGCCACACCTTCCAGGCAGGAGGCAGAGGCTGCGAACCGCACCCGCCCCGGAGCCCTGCCGGCGCTCGCTCTGCGCGGGGCCCAGGAGTTTACATAAGGGCCACGCAAAGAAGTGGAGGAGAAGGAAGAGAGCAAGCCGATCTTCTGGGTGCTCTGCGTCTCCAGGGCACACAGAGAGTTTAATGCTTTTCGGTATTGTAAGTTAGGAGCATGCGTCTACGCAAATGCCGACGTAGAGTGAACAGAGAAGACAACTGGGTATTGTCAACTGCTTGCTCCTCTGTTAGCAGAGATAATACAGTTAAATACTGAACTTTAAAAACTTGATTATGGGAAATCCCAGACATATAAATAGTAGTGAGAATAAAAAGAAAACAAACCCCATAGACCCATCACCTGGCTTCAAGAATTATTTGCACATGGCCAAACTCGTTTCATCTCTGTCTCTGCCCTGTATTATTTTGAGGCAAATCCCAGACATTATATTAAAATACTGAAACATTAAGTTGAATGTATTTTCATCCTATGTAGCCCTTACCTGTTTCGACATTTGCCATACACAATCAATAAACTGGAGAAAAATAGGAGATCGGTCAGCATCGGCGTGGTTCTTATCACCATGACCTATCCTCTAAAAGAGGAGATGAAGATGATTTGTTTTAACTTATGGGTACAAAACTGAGAAAGCACAGAACCACAAAATGTGACCATCCAACTCAGCGACTTGTTTTCCAAATGCCAAGTTTCTCAGAGAGTAGTCTATTTTTTCTTGGCAATATAGAAAACAATGTAAAGTTTTGAAATAATGGAAACTAAGCATCTATAAAATACTGATACAAATTGGCACAGCATCATCCTATGTGAGTGTTATAACTATTTCATCTGATTGGATGAAGGCTAAAAGGTTGCACAGCAGTGTTTCTGAAACTGTCTATGGGTCCTCTGCATGAGAAGCATCTGGGGAGCTTGTTAAAAATGCTTATTCAAAGCGTGTCTGGAAACAAGACCGGGAAATATGAATTTTAATAGGTTCTCTCAATTTTTAACATGTATATGAGAATAGTAATAAAAACAGCCGCAACTAAAAGTCTAGCATCTCTACAAATATAGTTGGCTCTAACAGCTACAATATTGGTTGAGCAAGAATTGTCATCCTATCTTCCTCCTTTTGCACAATTTCAATTTAAATGCTTCTATGCAGACTCTTTGTATGACTTCCAAGTGAAACTGTAAATAGTGCAGATGGATAAACATGTCTCCTAAAAAGACCTTCAGTAACCCAAGGCATCACACATTTTCAAACCTGTAGAGTGTTTTTTATTACACTCCACAGATTTTCTTCTTAGAAGTGAATACATGGTTTCACAACTAGCTGTGGTTATTTTGGTGAGGAAGATTGGCCCTGAGCTAACACCCCTGCCAACCTTCCTCTATTTTGTATGTGGGATGCTGCCAAAGCATGCCTGGATGAGTGGTGCATAGGTCCGCACCAGGGATCTGACCCCAGGAACCAATCGCTTCTCGGCCTTTTGACTAAGATCAAGTGTGAACCCATGAACCCCAGGCCACCGAAGCCGAGCAACTGAACTTAACTGCTATGCCACTGGGCCGGCCCCAACAACTAGTTTTTTAATACCAAATGGTGGTAGTCTGACGTTTAAAAAAACCAGCTTTATTGTTTACTTACAGATGCAAATTTATGTCCAAAACTTATCCATTCTTTTTGTACCAATATTTCAAAACCTTCGATGCTCCGATAGAAGCTGTCCAGCATGAGCATGGCCAGGGACGTCAGCTGGGCGGTCCTGTCCCATCCGTCACTGCAGTGCACGAGTACTGAGCTCTTTCCTGAAGAGACTTTATCTGCTACTTGAATGGCTCCCGTCAAAACAAGCTGGCAGAGAAAAACATGCGAGTCAGGGGGTAGCTGTAAGATACTGCTAAATTTGAAATTATAGGTTTTTTTGTTTGTTTGAGGAAGATTGGCCCTGAGCTAACATCTGTGCCAATCTTCCTCTATTTTGTATGTGGGATGCTGCCACAGCATGGCTTGATAAGTGGAGTGTAGCTCCACACTGGGGGTCTGAACCTGCAAACCCCAGGCCGCCGAAGTGGACTGCACAAACTTAACCACTACACCACCAGGCCGGCCCCTGAAATTACAGCTTCTAACCCTAGAAGAAGTCCTGTTTGAAAATACTATTAATGTCTAGAACAGAAAGATTTCTGAGAACAAAACACCAGGAGCTGCAGGATCTGTTACACTGCCTCTACAGAAACTGCTAAAACCAAACACACAAACAGCCAAACTGCATTTCAGACTTATTTTCACGTATATGATTGTCTAAGTCCACTAGGGCTGCTGTAACAAAGCACCACAGATGGGGGGGCTTCAACAACAGACATTTACTGTCCCACAGTTCTGGAGGCCACAACTCCGAGACCCAGGTGTCAGCAGGGACACGTGTCCTCTGAAGGCTCCAGGGCAGGACCGACCTGTCCCAGGGCTGTCCCATAGCTTCCGGTAGTTCCTTGGCTTGTGGCGGCATAATTCCAGTCTTCACATGCTGTTCTCCCTGTGCACGTGTCCCTGTCTCCAAATTTCCCCTTTTCATAAGGACACCAGCCTTAGGGGATTAGGAGCCACCCTACTCCAGTATGACCTCATCGTAACTAATGACATCTGGGGTGACCTTATAAGGTCACACTCTGAGCTACTAGGGGTCAGGACTTCAACATATGAATTTTGAGGGGACACAATTCAACTCATAAGAGTGATCATATTAGAAAAATCACTGGCCCAAGAGGTCCAGTCTAGACCTTAAAGACCTGAGAGAATGGAAATCACCTTTTAGCCTTTAAACTGACAAAATATGAACTCTTGGGTGGCTCAAAAATCGCAGAATACTCACCTAGAGATAAAGTGATGGCCTTCTAGTAAAAATTTGAGACTCAGAAGTACTACTAAATTTATGTATACAAAGAGTTATTCTTATGATGTCATTTTTGATGACTTAGGTATTTACAGAGGTATACTTCACAAACTATAGAATTTATCCATCATAAGTGTGCACTTCAGTAAGACTTAATAAATTTACACAGTTGTGCAACGATCACCACAATCCAGTTGTAGAACACTTCCATTACCCAAAAAGCTTCCCATGTGCCATCTAAGGCCAATCTCTGCTCCCACCCTCAGCCCCAGGCCAACACCGAACTGCTTTCTGTCTCTATAGTTTTGCCTTTATTAGAAATTTTATATAAGTGGAATCATATAATAGGTGGCCTTTTCTGTCTGGCTTCTTTGACTTAGCATAACGTTTTCAAGGTTCATCCATGTTGTAGCCTATATCACTACTTCATTCCTTTTTATGGCCAAAAAATACTCCATTGTATGGATAGACCACGTTTTATTTATCCATTCATCCACTGATGGACATTTGGTTGTTTCTAGCACTGGTTACTATGAATAATGCTGCTGTGAGCTTTCACGTATACATTTTTATACAGACATAAGTTTTCATTTCTCTTGGGTAAATACCTAAGAGTGAAATGGTTGGATAATATGGTAAATGTACGTTTACTCAACTTTTTAAGAAACTGCCAAACTGTTTTCAAAAGTGGTCATACCATTTCACATTCCCACTATCAGTGTATGAAGGTTCCATCTTTTCATGTGCTTATCAGCCATTTACATATATTATGTCATTTTGGAGCTCTCCAAATTCTAACCGCCGTGCAACAGACATTTATTATGGTAATTTTAACTAATTCAAGGAAATTGAAATACTCATTTATTTTAACTAATTCAAGGAAAAGTCAGACTAAGTAAAGGTCTGATGTACAGAAATTTTAAAAGAAATGCGATTTTATTATTTTGACATAAACAGTAACTGAAGATAAGTGGACAAAGTAATGCCAAGAAGGACAGGTTAGGGGACCTGACAGCACATCAATTATTTGTACAAAAATCATTGCTTTTAAAATGAATGGAGCAGGTTTATTTCTTCAGGCATTTTAAATATCTCCTCGAAATCCTATTTACAATTTGAATTCGAGGCCCTTCTGAAGAAAGGGCTGTTAAGAAGCACTGGTAATACACTAGATCACTGGAGTCCAACTAATGAAGCTGAGGGCGACTCTCGGGCACTTTCCTTATAATAAAAAGGGGATGCAATCTTGGCCGATTATCTTTAAAAATATCAGATGTTTTCCAATAAAGTATGAATTCCATCACTTCTTGACAGGAACAGTTACAATTATCTAAATGAAACTAATTCAGATTTTCAAAAACACATCACTGAACACTTAAATAATCGGATAGACTTGTGACTCTGATGGGAAGAAATGACAGCCATGGAGCAGTGGACAGCACGGTGGCTAGAGCACCAGCTCAATGGCTGAAGGCCTGGCTTTGAAACCGCACTCCACCACTTCTGACAGGTCACATCTTAAGCCAGTCACATAACCGTGGTTCCTTTCTCTCTGAAGAGATGAGAGGAATGGTACCCCCACCAGCCTGTCTTGGACTAAAAGAGATAATCCCCTCAAAGTGCTGACATTGAGCACGTGTTCAGTGAATGCTAGCTGCCGGCTAGCTGCCTTCTAAGAAGCACAAAACAATATGTCTCTTTAAAATGGGAAGGAATATAGGGGAAGAATATTGAAAACTGAAAAGGACAGAGAGAAAATGGAAGCTCCAGAAACCAGAGACCTCCTTCCAACCTGTTGGGGCTCCATCAGCGGACTGGGATGAGGATTTAGGACACATGCCAAGGGTGGTGGTCTTCTCACCCGAAAAGGCTTGCCGTTTTGCAGAGTGGTGGGACCCTCTCACCTGAGTGCAGGTTAGTGATGGCCATGCCTCATGTCATTCAGCAGCCCCGAGGCTGTCAAATAGTGCGGAAGGCTGAATAATGGTCACCAAAGACGTCCTGGTCCTAACCCCCAGAAACCTGTGAATGCTGCCTTAGATAGTCACAGGGACTTTGCAGACGTGATCAAGTTAATGACTTTGAGATGGAGAGATTATCCTGGATTATGGAGGTGGGCCCCAAATTATATCCATGTATCCTGATAGGACAGAGATTTCAGAGAGAAGAGAAGGCAACGTGATCATGGCGGCAGAGACTGGAGCGAGGCGGCCACAAACCAAGGAACACCAGCAGCTACCTGAAGCTAGACGAGGCAAGGAACAGATTCTCCCCTAGAGCTTCCAGAAGGAGCACTGCCCAAATGTCCCCCCCAATTCCCACCCAGTCTTCAAGGTCCAGCTTAAGGCTACCCACATCTCTACTCCCCTGTCTGAACCACTACCATCTGACTCATACCTGGGAAGCCCTGAGTCAGATCTTGGTACACGTGTCCACCTGGGCTCCCCAGTTACACCTGGTCTCCTCAAAGAACAATGACAGTTTCTCTAATTTCTTTTGAATCCCCATCTCTATGGACAAAACTATAAAAATGTCCAGGGGCCTTTTACAACATTCTCCATATTCCGTAAATCCTAACTTCCATGCTTCATCTTTTGCAGGTGGCCTTGACTCCTCGTTTCCTCACACACCAGAGCCACTGAATGAGCCCTACTTTCAACCAGTCTCTTCTATCTAGCTCAGAGTGGGGGGTGACTCACCTTGCCAATCATTCCTGTACCTGTGCTCTCTCTTCAAAAAAAAAAAAAGCCTTTCCCCTTAGTTACAAAAGTAACAGATACTCACTGAAAAAAATGGAGAAAACAAAGAAAAGCACAAAGGAGAAAATAAAAATGACCATAGTGCGATTAACTCAGAAAGAATAACTGTTAACATGTTTTTTGACGCCATTCCTAAAGCTCTCTGCATACAAACATGTTTTCCTTCATTAGGGCTTTCAAAGCATTTTCACTCTTACACACTGAGCATTTCCTGTGTTAACAGATAGCACATTACATGCTTTTTAATGACTGCATAGTATTTCATTATACAGATAAAACTTTTCTTGTACATTTAGGTTGATTCAAATTTGTCACTATTATAAACATCCTGCTATATTCACCTTTTCAGATCTGTGTCATTTCCTTTAAAAAAATGCCTAAAGTGTATCTTTTCTCTTTGTCTACAAAAGCCCTTAAAAAACTCTTCTTGAAATCATATGACCCTCGACCCTTCCCTTCCTTTAACTATCTTTTCAAAAGAATAGTCTGTATTCACTACTTCAATTTCCTCCACTCTCCTCCACCCCATCTGTAGACACCCATAAAAGTCTGCCCCCCAAGGTCATCAAGGATGTCCCCAATAAATATGTTTGAAGTACCACCGACTCTTAGCTCCTTTCTTTAAATTCCAATATCCTTCTTTGATCTCCTGATTTCTCTCTGATGAGCGCCACCTCTCGCCTCCTGCCCATTCTCAGTCCTTGGTCTCTCTGTACATCCTCTCTCTCAGCATCCTCATTAAAAGGCTTGGCTTGACTTTGTTGCCCAAGAGCTGCTTCCGAGGCCTACATCTTAGTCCCAAGCCTCTTTGTTAGTTCCACTTTGCATGAAAAACTGCCTATTAGACACACTGGGTTGACGGCCCGCCACCACCCCAAGTGCATGGTGTTTCTCTTGACCAAAGGCCCAGTCAGGACTACCCTTCATCTACAAATGGTGACATCATTTTCTCAGTTAGCCAGGCTCAACCTCTTGGTATCATCCTACATTTCTTTAGATCCTGCATCTAGCTAATCATCAAATACTACAGACCCTTCCTTGGAAATAGCTCGTGTCTGTCCCTTTCTTAGTGCCTCACCCCACACACACCCGGCAGCATTCTAATCTAGGCCGTTACTACCCCATCTCTGGACGCTTGAAATGGTTCTGTTTTCTCTGACTTTACTTTCTTCCCTCTCTTGTCTATTCTATAAGCAGCTACCAGAACATTTTCCTAAAGTAACCCACTATTTCAAAACCTCTGGGGCTCCCTATAACCTAACTTGACAGTCAAGGCCCCAGAATGCCTGGCTTCTCCCAGATCTCTCTAGATTAACCTGCGACTACAGAAACTCTCACTTTTCCCAACTAGGCCTTACCAAGGCCTGTTTCTGAGCTCTTGTCCAGCCTGCTCTTTCTCTAGAATGGACTCCCTCATCCTTTCTGTTTTCTTCAAGGACCAGGATCAAGCCCCACTGAATCCAAAGAGCCTGTTCCTTCCACTGACTTTGCTATGAAGCCTCACTGGTACTTCACATACAGTACCTTGGAATATTATGTTTCTTTTTACACATACATATCATCTCTTCAACCCTAAGAACCTCCTTAAAGGCAGGAAGTATGTCTTACACCTTTTGCCATTCACAGGGTCTAGCATGATGGTCTGTACATAATGAGCACAATCCTTGTTTAAAATAAACTCTTTATTTTAGAATAATTTTAGATTTACAGAAAAGGTATAAAGGTACTACAAAAAGTTCCCATACACTCGACTCAGTTTCCTCTATTATTGACATCTTCTAATAGTATGGTAAATTTGTCCCAACTAATGAACCAATGTTGAAACATTATTTATTTATTTTTTCCGAGGAAGATTAGCCCTGAGCTAAGATCTGCCAATCCTCCTCTTTTTGCTGAGGAAGACTGGCCCTGAGCTAACATCGGTGCCCATCTTCCTCTACTTTATATGTGGGACACCTGCCACAGCATGGCTTGCCAAGCGATGCCATGTCTGCACCTGGGATCCGAACCGGCGAACCCCAGGCCACTGAAGTGGAATGTGCGAACTTAACTGCTGCGCCACCAGGCCAACCCCCGATACATTATTAAATTATTAAGAAACTTAATTTATTTTTAATAAAGTCCACACTTTATTCAGATTTCCTTACTTTTTACCGAAGACTCTTTTTCTAATCCAGGACCCCATCGAGAATACCACATTACATTTACTTAGAATCATTTTTGAGGATGACAAATTAAGAAAAAGTGAAAGTTAGACAAGATAAAAATATGATTCCTATCAAGTTGGAAAATAAAATTTGACTAGAAAACCATCTATATCAATAATTCACCTATTTAAAGTAGACTTTTTATTTGTTTACAGAAGTAAAAGTGTTAGTTCCCCCAGCTTCAAGTACTTTTGCTTTTAAAAGAAGGAAGGTTTTTGATGCCTTTATCAAGATGAAGGATTCAATATAATAAAAATCCAAATTCATTCTTTAAAATCAGTCAATTTGAGATTAGTTTCGATACAAACGATCGCTCTCTGCCTTGAGGGTCATGTTCAGTAGCAGTTAGATAATACAGTGGCTATTCCTACCCCTGTGCAAGGCTCAACTGCTTCCTATTGATGAGATGGAAGTGACAGCTCTACAAACTCTAAACATATCCTGGTGGCGATGCCGTGAAATCTTTAATTTGGGTAAACAAATTATAAAGAAACACAAAGCTGTCAAATATAGAACCCAAACTATGGATATTTCACCTCTCACTGTTCAATTTTTTCAAATTTAAGGAATTAAAAAATATTCCTTTTCCACTAAACAATTCCTTTTTTTAGAGGAAGATTAGCCCTGGGCTAACATCTGCCACCAATCCTCCTCTTTTTTCTGAGGAAGACTGGCCCTCAGCTAACATCTGTGCTCATCTTCCTCTGCTTCATATGCGGGACGCCCGCCACCGCATGTCCTGACAAGTAGTGCGTAGGTCCGCACTTGGGATCTGAACCCACGGACCCTGGGCTGCCGAAGTGGAATGTGTGAACTTAACCCTTGCGCCACCGGGCTGGCCCCAACAATTACTTTCTTTTTTATATATGTAAATCTTTTTTTTAAAAAATGTGCTTACCTTGATATGTTCTAACCAATGAGTAGACTCCAAACTGGACAACCAATGAGATTCTTCCACATTAGGATAAACAATGTCTTTGACTTTTTTTAAAGATTCTCGCATAACATGAATGTTATGAATGTCTAAGAAGAAAAGTTCTGCGTTGTGATATGCATCATCACTTTCATATCCTCCTCCTGTTGCCTAAGAAACAAGATATACAAACAATTGGTTGGGTTTTCTATTGCATCAGTAATTTACACAAATATTCCAAAAGTTATTGTTCCTCAAAATCGCAACCTAAAACCCTCCAACTTAGATACAATAACTGATGTGACTTGTCTTCTATCCAACACGAAGCCTCAACAACCTTAGTCATATTTTGAGATAGAAAAAAAGCTGCTAGGCTGGCAATTTCCTGGGGATCTATATTTGCGAGAAAAAAATCATTTTCAGAATGTCCTATGATTACTAGCTCTTCTTCCAGGTCTGGAAAGGCAAGAGCAGGTCCGTCCTTGTCCTCCATCAGTTGTGTAACGGTACTCTGCAGGTGGAGGTACTGGCTTTGTGACAGCGCTCACGTGGGACAGGATGGGCTAGAGGAAAACAACAGGCTTTAGAGTCAGACAGACCCAGGTTGACAGCCCATCTTCAGTCCCTCTTTGCTGTGTGATCTGGGGCAAGGCACTCAACCTCTCTGAGCCTCAATGTCTTCTCCTATAAAATAAGGGGTAATACTACCTTGGTCTCACAGGATTAAGAGGAATCGTATTCTACAACAGCTAACACCGGCCACCATTTAATGAGCCCCATGACATCCCAGATACTGATTCTTGCTTTACATAATTTTATCTAACTCTTACAGCAACGCTGCAAGATAGGTATGACTATCCCCATTTTGCAAATGAGAAGAGATGCTATTTAACTGTCCCCAAAGTCACGCGGGTGATCAGTAGAATTTAAATGGTCTGCCTTCAAAGCCTGACCCTTTCCAAGCACACCATGTGTCCCTGCTAAGCAAACACCAAGGACAGAGCCCTCCGCGCAGCGGGCCCTCCGCACAAAACAGCTTCCCAGAGGAGGCAAGACGGCCGCTGCCTCCCACAGCGCCTCCAAGTCCCAACTTGCCAGGGCCGGTGATGGGCCACCTTGGCAGCATGGTGAAGACGCCTGTTTCCCACATAGGCAAAAAGAAATGCTATGCTTTTGTTTAGGAATCTGTCTGCAGTCTGCTTAATGTTTTTAAATGCCATGGAACATGCGACCTCTGGCCCTTTAAGAAAAAGTTCAATAATTCAGAGACTTTTGAAGAAAGCAATGTTCTATAAGCTGTAATGAAGTAGGCTAATTAACACTGTGAAAACATATGAATGTGTAAACTCGCCAGTAAAGGTAGGTATACAGTCAGAGCAACGTTATACTACCTCTGGAGCGTCTGTAACAAGAGGACAGGGAGATGCGCCTGGAACGGAAGAGTGAAGGGGAAGGCACCAGACAAACGTGCCCTCGCTACAATGAGGCCTCTTTTCTTTCTACTGCTAACAAAGAAGGAATATAAACTGGCAGCTTGGGACAGAAGGGCCCACATGCAGCCTATGCGGTTTTCCAGAGTCAGTCTCAGAGAAGGCTTCCTGAGGGGAAGGAAGGCTGCCCCCTGGAACTCCAAACCTGGAGACCTACGTGCGAGCCCGAGGCCTGGGTCTCCAGACTCTAAGTGAGAAAATATATTTTATTTAGACAGAAATTTATTTTTAAAGCTTGCTATAAATAGCGTCAGCAGTAAGTAGACAATAAACCTTCACTTTGTTGTTTTCAAAAGTTATTAGCTAATGAAAAAATAGACAAATGGGCCACATTCCCCTCTTCTTGGCCATCCAGGCCTCAGGGAATAATACCCGGCAGCTCCACAGGGAGGTCCCGGCAGAGGTGCTCCTCCACCTGGCAGTCACTTTTGTAAACTGCAGGCCCAGGGCAGGAAGGAAAGGGCGAGTCTAAGTTTTGCTAGATCTGCAAGCCTATAATGCAACGACATATGTCACCCTCCCACAGACAGGCGGCCCACTTCTCTGCACGTGGGGTTTTTAAACAGTTACGGTGATTTTCAAAGAGATTCTCAACACTGGAGTTTCCTTCACAAATAACTGAAGACGATATGCGAAAAACTAAAAGGAAAATATCCTCATCACTCATTGCTAAGGTTTCTGGCAAAAACAGACACTAATACAGTTCCGCTTTAATTCATCACAGTGCACCTCCACAAGAATGAAGCAGTTTGGGGCTGCAGCTTGCCGCCCCTGGGATTGGTTTGTTTAATTTAAAATGGTGTGCATGTTACTTGTTACATCCGGGGTTGTAAATTTCTAAATATCCGCAAGGGAGGAACAATTAGGTCCAAAGAGAACAGAAGTCAGAAGGGTAAAAATCAATTAGTCAAGCACAGATTGAGTTCCCAAAAGTTCAAATTCTCCATCTCTGGTTATTTTTGAAGTCTTCTTTTCAGTTTTTTTCCATTCAACAAAAAAGAACAATCCAGATTACCTAGTACGACAACATAAAGGTCCAAAGGCCGGTTGCTATGGATATAGATGACTAGAGGAGAGACACGGTTGAGGGAGGAGGGGAACCCGTGTGTGGTTTTTCAAGAATGATGCAGACATCTTCAAAGCCTAGGCTTTTTCCTTAATTTTTTCCTTCCCTTTATTCCTAAGGGGACCAGAAACACAGGCATATTTCCTGAGTGCTAAAAAGGCATTCAAGAATTCTACTGCTATAACAACAAAATTTAGAGTTAATATGAGATGTTCATTTTATACATTTTAATATTTTAAAATATTCTTTCTAAATACCTCATTTTAATGTTATATCTATTTCAGGCTAAATGTATACATGGAAACAGTGTGTTTTACACATGTATTCAACTCTGAGTTATATATGAACAACAGCAGAACAGAAATAACGTTAAGAATAATCCTAAAAGATACTCATATTTAGACAATTTCCTAAATGTTTTATTTATAATTCCTAATTTACTTATCGATTTCACTTCCTGATTGCTTTACATATAATTTCAAAATCATTTTCATTACCTAAACAAAACCCAACTGTAGTAAGAGCTGGTCCAAGAGCACGCAAGGGGCGAGGGGCTCCCCAGGGGTAAATGTGTAAGATGATGATCCGTGTGCAAATAATGACAAGTGGAGCCCCCCCTCCGGCATGCCGTCCTCCACACCCTCGCGTAGAGAGACGTCACAGGTTCCAGATAGGAAGCTGCTGCGTCCGTCTGGGCTGCTCGAGGACTTGTGCTTTCAGGTGCTTGTCTTGTGCTCTGAATAACTGAAGACACCCGAGAAATGACCTCGGGAGAGGCAAGTAATTCAGGATGATGACATTTAAGCCTACAGCTAAGGAGAAACAACGAATCTGAAAGGCGGGATGAGGGTGAACAACCAGGGGCAGGCCCAATGTGAACACTCGGAAGCGGCAGCTGGCAATAACGAGAGAAGGAAAAGAGAAAGAAAAAGGAGAAATGGAACGTAAAAAGCATATCAACCTGGGGCCATCTAGTGTAGGGGCAAACAGCCTTACACCTCACAGCAGCTTCAGAGGAGCTCCCGAAGGTGACACACTGTAGCCACTCATGTTCACAATGATGACCCCAACCAACCTTAGGGGCACTTCCATATTCTACTTAAGAAGGCCAAGAAGACAACTGAGACAGATTTCTTTGAAAATAACAACAGTGTGTGTGTGATTGTAAAATTCACATACATAGATCTACTCATTTTTGAATTATCTTATATAAATGAGAATACACATTTATGAGTATAGTGAAGAGACTGTTTTGATAAAGCCACAGATTTAAGATTTTAACAATCTCAGCTTCCCACAACTCCTCACAGATGCTTTAAGAGTGCACACATTGAGAGCGAACGTCAACAGCCGAAAGAGCTCCAAAGAGATTCTAACTTTCGCCTAAGATTATGGCCAAAATTCAAGTTCCTTACAGTTGTAGATTTGCCTAATTTACCAGAAAATTATTTTCATTTGATTTTAACGTATTCAACTTTTGTTTAAGATATGTTCTGAGACTAAAACTACTTTCTACCTAAGTAAACTAGTTTTCTTTTTCTAAAGACTTTATTTTTCCTTTTTCTCCCTAAATCCCCCCGGTACATAGTTGTGTATTTTTAGCTGTGGGTCCTTCTAGTTGTGGCATGTGGGACACTGCCCCAGCCTTGCCTGATGAGCGGTGCCATGTCCACACCCAGGATCCGAACTGGCGAAACTCTGGGCTGCCGAAGTGGAGTGCGCAAGCCTAACCACTCGGCCACGGGGCCGGCCCCCTAGTTTTCTCATTTAAACTAAGTTTAACTACTAATTCTAACCCATATGTTGACATACTATGGCAAAAACATTCATGCACACACCGCATGCTGTATGTAAGATAAGTTTCTATTACATCATTAAATATACTCACCTTGTTGGCCACTGCATTTACATTGGGTCTTGCATCATAAATTGTGAGTTTAGAAATTTGTCTGTTAGTCTCCCTGATAACATCAAGGTATTTCTCATCATCTTTATTTCGTTTACCACTCATACCGACAAGAGGCTGACTGCAACGTACAATGACAGTCTTGTTTTCTGGATGAATCCACGACAGCACCTGTGGTTAGTTCAGAAATTTTAAGCTATCAAGAAAAAAAACAAATCTCAAGAAAACAATTAAAACTATAAAAAATAAAGCACTAACAATCATGATGAAGTGAACCTGATTTTGCTGAAATGGAAAAATTGTTCACCTGCGATTTCACTGTGAGTGCCCAGAAACACACATTTAACAATGGTGACTACTCCGAGACAATGAGAACAACAACCCCTTTACTAGTCTTTTCTTAGTTAGCGCCACATCTAAGAGAAGTACAATGCTTACCTAAAAAATTCTATCACTTAAAGGAAACAGAAAGCTTCTGATATGATTTCAATTCTGTAGCTTCCACTGGATTTGTTATCACACAGAAACAGCTTTAGCAAAAAGTGAGAGGTACAGAAAATCATCTCTGGTACTGAATACTTCTCATGATACCAACTCCTGTCTACAGGTCATTTTCCCAGCAGTCTCAATTCTAGAATCTCACACGATGGGGGGCGGGGGGAACTCAAAGGAACTAAAAAAGATCTCAGGACAGCCAAGAAAGCTGCCAGAGTCTCCACAATAAAGCTTGGATACCTCACACCTAGCAGAGCTCTTCGAGTCTTTTTTTATTTTTAACTTTTTTGTGAGGAAGACTGGCCCTGATCTAACATCTGTTGCCAATCCTTTTTTTTTTGCTTGAGGAAGGTTCTCCCAGAGCTAAGATCTGTGCCAATCTTCCTCTACTTTGTAGGTGGGATGTCTCCACAGCATGGCTGACAAGCCAAGTAGGTCTGCATCCAGGATCCGAACCTGCGAACCCAAGGCCCCCTTTGAGCCTTTATTCAGAATCAATCTTCTCTCATTTTGCACACCAGCCTAGCATATTTGATATCTAGTTTCTCAGCTCATAGCACATGAGAAACAATATCTGTAAAAGGTGGCTAATAATGCAATACACTGAAAACTATAGAATTGTCCATTTTAAATGGGTGAGTTGTTTGGTAGGTGAATTATATCTCAATAAAGCTGTTAAAAAAGAAAAAAGGAGGAGCCGGGAGGTTAGTGTGGCAGGCAACAGCACAGGGCTCTGGGGGCGGGTCCATGTCTGCCCCAGGCTCTAACCTGGGCACTGGGCTCACAGCCAGTCCCTTCCCTTTCCTCTTTCTTCACATGGGGAGGACGTTATCTCCTGGGGCTGCTGGGAGGACCGAATGAAGAATGCCCATCAAGCATCTAGTGCAGCGCAGGAATGCTGGCTCGAGTTAGCATCTAGAGGCAGGCTGGGTGGCCAGTGATATCAGATATGAAAAACCATGAAAAGCAGACCTAAGAACTAAAACAAGCAGAAGTGTTTGAGCTCACTTAAAATCAGGTCAGATACGCTGTTGTCTTTGAAGTCACCCCCTCCACGATGGCAAATGACAAGCATTTATGTTCATAAAAACTTGATGTGCATAATAATGACAGTGGGATAGTGAGAAAAGATTATATGATAATATGAACGAACACTCATCCATTGAGTCTTTGCACCATGCCAGAGACCAGTTAAAAACACCATTGTGAAGGGCTGGCCTGTGGTGCACTGGTTAAGTTTGCACCCTCTGCTTTGGCAGCCCAGGGTTCACTGGTTCGGATCCCAGGTGTGGACCTACACACTGATCATCAAGCCATGCTCTGGTAGCGTCTCACATACAAAATAGAGGAAGACTGGTGCAGATGTTAGCTCAGGGCCAATCTTCCTCACAGAACAAAAAACAAAAAAAACCCCCAAAACCCCACCATTGTGGCCCCTAAGGGTCCAAAGGCTCAGAACTGGGAAGCCTTGGGAAAAACACTGGCCTTCCTCCAGCTCCATGGTCTAGCTACAATGTGGAGATGACATCTGCCCCGCCTACCTCCTACGGCCTTTGCTTCAAGAGAGATAAAAGACATGAGATCAATTTTATGTATTTATTTATTTGTAATTTAATTTTTCCAGCTTTATTGAAATATAATCGACATATAACACTGTAAGTTTAAGGTGCACAATGTGATGATTTGATAGATCACTTTCAAAAGAGCAAGCTGCTACACATACAAGAGGCTTAACATTTGATAAAGACCCTCAGCAAGTTTTAAATTTAAATTGGGTCACATGCAAGAGACTGTCCTGTGCCACCTGCTGTCATACGTAAACCAAGTGCTACGTGGAAGGACAGAGGAAAGGACATCCCTCCTCTCTCTGCTTGGAGACTTGCGATTGGACTCACCAGGCCATGTTAGGAAATGCTATTCTTATGAGTTATTTCATCTCTTACTTTCTTTTTCTTTTGGGATCTCAACTAACTTTTAAAAAGGATGCTTGCTGCATAGCTGACCAGGTACAAATCATGCTAGTTTCACAATATCAACTACTGTGAATGCTTTTAAAGCATAGGGTACCATATTAGATTCTTCTTCTTAAAGTTAATATCTAGAGGCATAAATAATTAAGGACATACACAAAGATTTAGCCGTCAATAGATATTTTATAATAGTATCTTATTTGTGCACAAAATAACAAGATTGCTTTCTCATCAATTCTTTCTGTATTTTTATATGGGCTTTAAAAAAAAAGAACTGGATATCAAATATTAATGATTTTGCATTAAAAGCACCTATGTTTTCTAGGTTATAGTCAAAAGTCAGGTGGTTAGAAGGCATATCGGAAAGAGTACATTATCTACTATTAGATATTATTAAGTATGATAATCACTAAAGATATAGAGGTGATGGACGGCTGAGCCTTAGTTTTGTTAGGAAAAATAAATGCAAATTGGTGGCCATCACAAAGTAAGAAGGATCACTAAAATGGATAAATACATAAAAAGTTCAGCATTCTATGCGCTCCATAGCGGGCTCTCATTCACTGAGAATAGGAGGAACCACTGGGTCAAGACGGCAGCCTGAGCACAGGGCACCCGGCGCAGTTGTTTCCTTTCCTCTCCCGACCCCAGTCCCACAAAATTCACACACACACACACACACACACATCTTTGGCACAGTAGATGTTCAATAAATAGGAATTGAATGAAGGAGTGAACAAAATCGATCCACACTGCCCCAGCCAAGTTCTCTAGTGAGCAAGGCATGTATTATCAAGACAGCTGGCCAGGGCAGGGCAGGAGTCTGCGGCTGACACAGAAAAGTCTGTCCAGACAGAGCACAAGAGGAGCGAACTCGTACCTCCAGCTTCACTAGCACTGTGTTCCAGCAGAATGAGCTAAAGAACATACTTTCAAGCACAATATGTCATGAAGACATGAACAGGCACTCATAATTAGAGAAGCAAGTAAATTTTAAAAGTTACAATTCATATTATGTTGACAGTATACAAAAGTTTTACACAAATATCCTTTTAAGGACAAAAATGTTTAGACTTGGAAGTTAAAGGCAAAGTGACATTAAATCTTAGTTTCTTCAACCTTTGTTGAAAAACCAAAATAAAACAATGTACTTATTATGACATGCCCTGAAAATTAACAGAGGGGAAGAAATTCTCTAAATTTTTAGTCAATAAAATTTATGTATACAGAGTAGACAGTATGACTCATACATAAATATTTAAGAGTCAAAGAGAACTTTGTGCACTAGGTCCAACGATACCGTGAGTATACTGTCTGAAATAACCTGCACTTGACTACAGTTTGCTGATGTATTAGCACAGCTTGCAAACGTGACGAGGATAAGCCAATCCTATGTAAAAGCCTGTATTTATAGCTCTATAACGTAAGAAAGTGCATGGTTTCCAGCATGACTCGGCCGACATTTATCAAGAGCCTATCATATGTCAGGTATTGTGCTACAAAGACGAAACCACAAAGACACTGTCCTTTCCTCTGTCCTTCCACGTAGCACTTGGTTTACGTATGACAGCATTACTTGTACCCTCTCTCATATACGAACTACTTGCATTCCTCCTCCGTCCCTGAGCGTGAGCTCCTGGAAGGCAGGTGCTGTTGTCCTTCTTTTCCCATTTGGCATGGAGCTTTGCACTCAGAGGCACTTGATAATCATTTGTTGGATTGAAATTCCAAAAGAGTGTTTCTCTGAATTACCGGACTACCGTTTTTACGGAAAAAAGGCACTCTGAAAAAAACAATTGCAGTACTCACTGGAATTCGATTTCGGGATCTAAACGTTGCAACTCTCCTGAGATCCTCATCTGAGGCACGATATGGAACCACCAAGAGAGAAGGGTAAGTGTCACAGAGTTCATAGCACTTATTAATAAAAGTTATTCTCCAATGATGATTGGGTAAGCCCTGCAGGAAAAAAGGAAGTCCAAGTCAGTGCTGTGTGACTTCACCCCTGGATTCGGCCTTGGGCCTCCTTTCTAGCAGAATCTGCACATGCCTCTTTGACTACAGGGGAGTGACAGCCTACCGATTTATAATAAGGGGCCAAATCAATAACCCAGACAACATGAGAACACAAGACAAAACACTGGTGGTTTCCATAATTCTAAACTATCATTGGTAAATACAGAATCTCTTGAATTTGAGATCTTCCTTTACTTCATGTCAAGCTATTCTTCACTACTCCTGCAATAAAGATAAACCCAAGTTCACCCCGACCTGCGATCCCCCCACCCCACAGAAAAGTACATGGTGTAACCGTGTCTAATTGAGGGTAGAAACGAGATCAGGGAACTTCCTCTCCCTACTCAAAACAGAGTGAATGCTTCAGTCTGCTCCAAAGTAGAAAGAGGCTAAGTTTATGAAGAAAGCCACAGAGGGGAAATAAAGGAAACCCCTCTGGGGAGGCTCATTTCGCCACCTCCTAGGAGTTTTTTCAACCAAGTTGCTTGGGATGGGTGATCTCCCTATAGGTTGTGTGAGAAATACAGTCATTTGCATGCTAAGCAGACTGAAAATGTGACAAGGAGACATGGAAGACACCTCCCATACTACCGTCTACCCGCAAAATTGTATCTAGTATGGACAAGATCCAGAGGTGGTGGAATATTCTCTCCCCATACTCACAAATACACAAATAGACACACGAAAGTCAGCTATGTGGATGCTTGCTTTGGGGAAAGACATTGTACCTTTTCTTTAGGTCTGGTCCTATAGACCACCGACCAAACGGATGAGTCTGATGCTGAGTCCAATTAGAGTTATAAGTCCCATCAGAAAGTTATAAGAAAAAAAGATGGAATATAATGGCAGTCTAGAACAAAATACTTTCAACAGTTCAGATATGCATGCAAACTTAAAAACAAGAACTGTTTTGTTTCAAGCTAGAAGCTTTGACCTAGAAAGTAAGTCTTAATATTGTCAATAACACGCCAAAAATAAGGTACAAATGTTTTAATACGTAATGCTACAGAGGTCTCCAAAGCATGCAAAATGTTTTAATGATCCTTCTTCTGCCTCAATAACTGACCCAGAATAGAGGTCATTAACATGAGGTATACACAGCCTTTGAAAACTCAATAGTCTAAAGCTGATTTCTAGAAGCAATAGGACATACTACCTCATACACATGCTCTAGAGATAAACTTTCCAGACTCACATCCCTGAGCATCGAATCTGCTTATGAATACACAAACCACTGATCAAGACTAAAAAAGGAAATCAACCCAGGTGCTTATTAGTGGAGGTGGTGGCTAGAAGGTTCTTCTTAAAGTCCAGGGGTCTGCAATTTTACTTTACTTCTACTTTCCCTGCCCTTTCATATAAAGACACTGGGCTTGATTTGATTCTCAAAGCTCGTTCAACAAAATTTCCCAATTATTTTAAGAGCTTTGTAGAATGACAACTATAAAAAATTCTATCACAAAACTCCTGGGTGTCCTATAGACTTGGTTATACTTGTTACATAACGTGCACAGGATCTTCTTCACAAAAAAAGGCCACAAGAGCCCTTTGTCCCTAAACAGCAACATTATACCATGCCTCTTACACCAAATAAATATGCATGTAGGTAAAGTTTACTAAGGCAACTCTAATACAGCCATCAAAGCTTTCTTGAAAAAGTCATCATTACAGGAAAACAGTTCTAACTCATTTGAATCTGCAAAGTGGAATAAATATAATTGAAATCCAACTGCCAGTAATAGTTAAGCTCCCAAATATATATATATACAGTAACATCAACTCCCAAATAGTAGGGTATAGAATTTGACTTTTCCAGACTCCAAGTATTTCATCCGTTTCATGAACAACATAGAACTCATGCTCTTCATGTAGGGGAAAGAAATAGACCTTAGCCAACCGGCCTTCAATGCAGCTTGAATATGGCTATGAAATGAGGTCATAAATTACATAGTAATAGATAGAGGAAGGTATATTATACCACTGCCATTAATATATATTTAGCAAAGATGTTATTGATTCTCAAAGGGCATGACTGATGATGCATTATCACCATGCGTATTTGAGATTCACCACACGTCACAGTACCTGTTGACTTACCTGCCTTCTGTATTCTTCAACTGGATTATAAACCATCCATCCATCCACATTAAACTTTTCTTCGTTTAAAAATGCAAATATTGGCTAGAAAAGGGGGAAAAAAGGATTTAAAGTTCGGCGTGAAGAAACTAATAGTCTATCAAGACTACATCCTTTGATTTTTCACCAGATTTGCCTACCATGAAATCACAACACAAACTGAGATTTTAAACAAAGAAATAACAGTGGAAAATTAAGACTAGACTTACACTACCTTCTATCTTGAGCAATAACTACTTTAGAGACCTCAATTTTCTATAGCACCAAATATCTCTTTTAATTTTGTTTTAAATTACGTTCCACAAAAATCAGATTTCCAGACCAAAAAATGCCTATCAATTTTAAACAGTATTAGCAATTGATCAGGTAACAGCCACTAAAAAAAAAAAGAAAAAGATTCAGGAATGATTATTCAAGAGTGCAAGTGTTTCAAAAGGGAACAACGACACGTTTATCTATTAAAAAAGAAACAACATGTTAGGAAAATGCTTAATTAACTGTTCCCTGTGAATTCTGAATCAAAGCCCTGATGTCTGTGAAATGACAGGATTTGGACCTCTTTTCTTCTCTATCTATGCTCTCTCAAGGTGATACTGATGAATTCAAATACCACCCAATTCAAATTCGGCTTCAAATATGGCTTCAAATACCATCCGTACCCTAGTGGCTCCTAAATATCGATGGCTTTCCAGCCCCTACTCTGATCTCCAGACTTGATCATCCAAGCGTCCACTCCACAACCACCAAGTGCCTAAGAGGCATCTGGAAGACTTTGAAGTTAAGACATCCAAAGCTAAATGCTTGACTCCTCCTACCCAATCTAGCTCCTCCCACAACCTCCTCATTTCAGTAGATGACAGCCCCATCCTTCTAGTTGATTAAGTCAAAAACCTTGGTGTTAACCTCATCACCTCATTTCTACCACCCTGGTCTAAGCATCCACCATCTCCCACTCGGATTATACTAATAACCTCCTAACTGGTCCCCTGCTTTCATCTTTATCTCTAAAGTTAAAGTTATCGCTAAAGTTTAGTTACCTCTAAAAGTCATAACCTAAGTCAGGTCAAGTCATTCCCCTGCCTCAAATCCTTCTGTGGCTTTCCATCACACTTGGAGTAAAAAAATGGAAGTCCTTCCAAAAGCAGCTGTCTACCATCTGGCCACATCCCCTATCACATCTCTGCTCTCTCCCTTGCTCACTCCACTCCAACCACACTGGCCTCCAGTGCTGCTCCCCAAAATCACAAAGCACACATCAACCTCAGGGCCTTTGCACCTGCTGTTTCCAGCTGTCTGTAATCCTTTTGCCTCATGGCTTCCCCCCACTTCTTTCACATCTCTGCTCAAATGTAACCCTAATCAATGAGACTTTCTCTGATGCCCCATAGAAAAACAACATGCTACCCCAACAACAGCAGCCCCTATTCTCCTTCCTGTTTCATTTCCCCCTATCACTTACAAACATTTGACATATTACATATTTACTTGTTTGTTTACTCTTGGACCCTCACTGACCTCTCCCCTAGAACACGGGCTCCATGTAGGTAGACACTTGCTTTGTTTACATCCTGTATCCCCAGTAACCAGAACAGTGTCTGGCCCTTAGTAGGCAGAATACGTATTTGTTGACTGAATGAAAATGTGCAGCCTTATACAGCCCCTGCACATCTGCTTTCTCTGGAGGTGCCATATCTGGGCACTTTTCCACTATCTTCCTTTGTGCCCATTTTCCTCTGTTATCAGCCCACAACTCTGAATGTTAGCATTCCCTCCCCTACATTACAGAGAATTTCTGGAAAAGCATCACTTAGCAGCAAGAGTTTTCTGTATTTAAGTGGCAAGAGGTTTAAGGTAAAAACTGATAAATAATATGCTCTCTGGACTGTCTTCTGGAACTTTCCAAAGCACGTGGCACCCTCAGTAGGTTTAAACTCTGGCAGTGCTAGGCTCAAGTGCCGTGTATTCTGTGATGGATAGCACACCGACCACAAGTTAGTAATGACGCTGATCTAGCTATGCATTTCGTTGAGGCTTTACGTTGACAGTGAATCCACAGCAGTACTAAATTATTCAATACCACTGCAAAGAACAAATGCTTTCTGTTAACTGAAGTTTAACTCAAAGACAGAGGGACTTTCGGTAAAAACAGCACTAAGATGTATGCTACAATCTTTATCCGGAAACAGAATCTAGAGAACACATCTAAGCATTCTTTCAGTGACATCTGAGCACCAGAGACTATACCTGGCACAGGTAAATAATACTGCTGAGCGCCGGGCTGTTGACACCCTTGTAGATGGCAGATGGTTTGAGACATGAGGCTGTACTGTCACTCACTTTAGAAGAAAACCTAGAATCTACTTTCTTGGAATAAGTTCATGATCGCAACATGGTTTTTATTCATTTTTTGTTTTTAGTTATTTGCATCTTCCCCATGAAGCTCAGGCAAATATGGCAGCCTTTTAAAAACAAAGAATACAATTGCTAACTCAAAGGCCAGATAAGGCTTTCTCTCCAGTAAAATCATCATGTGCATTAATGCTATCAGTGTCCTTTGACTTGCCAGCAGCATTTTCAACATAACTTACTATTTCTCAATCATTAACAATAAAGCAACTCTTCTTTTGCTCCAAATATTCTGTTGTATTTTATATTAAAATTACTGACAAGTTTATAAAATTGTTATCATCAGAAGGTAAGAGCATACAGCCCAAGCAAAAATTACCTCCATAATCCCTTTAATATGTTTGATTTAGAGAACTCTGAGTACAAGTAACATAAAAATTTGTCTCATTAATACGAGAATGATGCAATGTCCTCATGGTAGCAACATATCAGGTGGCCTTTCTCATGAAATCATTCTGGAATGACACTTCGTATTTCAAGCGACATTCAGATAATACAGGATGAGTTGATGAGGTGGCCCCCTTCACCCCTGAAACCTGCCTCTGAGAACTCTATGACAGAAACGGCTGCCAGTTTACTCTTGATGGTAAGAGCCAGACCTGGACTTCAAATATTTCAGGAAAATTTATGAATCACATAGCAGCCAGATATTTCTTGTCATGAAATACACAGCAACACATCTAATACTGAACTGGAGCTTAAGGTGGTAAGGACCAGGTGCTTAAACTAGCATTTTAACCATCCAAATAAATTAGCTTCCAATTACAAGAACACAGATTTGTAGAAAAGCATTACTTGTTAGTGTTCACACTGTGTTTTTCTTTAAACACTAAGCTGTCCATAAACTACTTGGCTCTAAGGAAGCAAACATGCTAAGAGAACCAATGCTGACATTTTCTAGAGTTGACTATTCCAGGACGGATTTGCAAGATTTTAATTTTTACTTTTTCCTTAAAGATTCAGTAAGAGAACAAAGCAAGAATTTTGAAACTCAAGTTCTCAATAGAGTAACATAAAAGTAGATTATTTAAAAAAACAAAAAAGAAAACTACTAAGTATTAAAGCAAGGCTAACAAGCCCAATCGTCTGTACCTCACTGTTAACAAGCACCAAGTGGCAACCTGTTTACAAGCCTAATTAAAGCTCCTGTCTGAAGACTGTTCAAACCTACACAGGTTACACGTCTGGAGGCCTCAGTTGTCATTTATTATCTCTTACAGACGACACATTTGTTAAGGCTTTGTGTCTTTAGTGCTTTCTTAGTGAGGTGACCTTTCCCACAGGTATTCCTGACTATAACCGTGGGTCAATTTGGACCCTCTCTTTGGGAAATCGAAGTCCCACAGAGAGAACTGGTTCTAGAGAACTTTCCTTTCTGAGGATCAAGCAGCGAGTGAGGTTTGAGAAATGGGCAAAAACAAAGTCAACTTCATGAACCCATCCCAGCCCCCACTTCATTTCACAGCCTACGGAAAAGTCAAGAACGAGTCAGTACCGGCTGGGTGCAGCCTCAGAGCAGAGCAGTGTTCTGCAGGGGGCGAGCTTGCAGTCAGTGCTTCAGGGAGCCCTTCCTGGCTTCCTTCTGCGGCCTGGGCCCACACCCCAGCTCCGCCTCAGGATTGGGGCTGGGGGTGCTTTCCCAGGGTGCCGCTCAACTGTGCCCACCCCACCCCCAGTGAACCAGAATCTCTAGGGGCCATCACCCTGATCCTGAAGGGCCATGGGGAAAACTCCAGAACACTTAGGAATCTAGCCTGAGGGTTCTGTGCGGTCCAGCTCTTTGGGGGGGCTGCTTCACTTGTTTTTTAAAAGTTATTTTGAAATAATTATAGATTTACAAGAAGTTGCAAAGAAATGTACAGGGAAATCCCATGCATCCTTCACTCAGCATCCCCCAGTGTGAACACCTTGCATGACTAGAGTACAATACCCAAACCAGGAAACCGACATCAGAAAACATATACTCCCAAGCACTCACCCCTGGCTTCAAGCAAGTGGCTCTTCCTTTATTTGGCTCTATTTTAGTATTTGGGCATTTCACCAATTCAGATTCCTACTAGTCAAGAGATACCATGCACGGAGACTTAAAAAAAAAAAAGCAATCATGTGCATTTTTTCCAGGATTAAAAATAGTACAATGTAACATTTGAAAAATGTTAAAGGACAAAGTTGAGATGAAAATCTCCGATTTCACACTGAGGATAAAAACAGCTCTGACAAAGAGAATGTAACTTGTCATTCTAATTTAGCTACATTTATCACTGTTGTGTCCTGTGGGGGAAAAATCTGAAATGACAACAGATTTTAGCTTTCACTTAATTAGCCATTATTTTTAAATGGCATCTTTATAAAGATGCACTGACTTGCTGAAAACATTTAGATTGGGGTTATTTTTATTTAGTAGAATCTATAAATGCTGAGAGATTCACAAATTTCCTTCTCTGAGGAGGGAGAGCTGTCTGTCACCGAATTAGGACTCCAAGATCTCATGAAGCCCATCACGGACTGCCTCTTCCCCCAAAGACTTGTCGTGTCTCTGAACTGGATGTTTGAGAGTCAGCTGCATAAAAGTTAAATATCACTCAAAAGGGAGACGGTTACAAAAGAAAACAATTTTCACAGTATTCAGGGGAATAAAC